AGAGCGTATCTGAGGAATGTGGGATATATTTAACAGGTACTGGGACTCAGTTACAAAAAAAATAAAAAATGTAAAAATGTAAAAATTGTCAAGAAAAACATGTAAGAAAAGCAAGCAATCCAGGAACAGCTGTAAACGCTTGAGTGAAGGCCCTTCTTGGGGGCGGATTATAAAATTTGACGATGTGATATTCCTTTACAGCTGTAAAAGATGAAATTTAATATGATACAAAGCCATAACTAAGTACCTTGTGAAAGGAGACCCTTCTGAGGAACGAAATTTGTAATTTGAACATTTCATATTTAACCCCATTACAGCCATAATAAATGAAATTTAATATAAACCCATCATCATACCCATCTTTCCGGCGGATTAACGCTCTGCATAGAGTGATGTAGACTGCAAATTACCAATGTTCAGGTGACTGTGTCATTGACGCTTTGGAAAACCACCGGAAACCCACTCCCGCCTATTCAAATGGTGTACCTGTTTGAACATAAAGTATTTAAAAGATTACTTGACGTTTCATTGATACCTTGGCTTTGATCTTAGTCAAGTTAAAGTAAAAAGTAAATACACTCTCATAGTTTTTGGGTGTTAAAATAGAGACTCTATCCTATAAGAGGTGAATGATTTCTTTGTAGACGACTATTGTAGCAGTAGGAAGCGGTCAAACGACTTGTAGATTTCAACAATTGTTGAAGCAATTGATAGATGGCCCACAATAGCTAACCACAGACGCAACAGGAACTCGAGACCAAAAAGATAAAAATTTAACACAAAAAGATAGACTCGATGAAAAAATAAAAAATTGATGACAAAAGATAGACCCAAGTGTTTTGGTGAGAGTAGAGTAGAGATCTATGCGGTCATGACCATGTTAAGCTCAATGTAGATTGTTTATTATAGCATTGCAAAACTCACCACGCTTGCTTTCAAGATGTTCTTTCACCATCGTTCGTTGCAATATGTATGGAATACCGCCCTTCTTCAATGTCGTCAATCCAAGCTTTCACCTGTTTGTCGGTAAGACGTCCGCCTTTGGCTCCTACACTCAGCATCTCCTGAGTGACTTTGGAGTCGTTGGCTTGGCAGACACTGCCAGCATTAAATAGGTTCCCTGGTCGGAACATGACCTAGGCTGGGAATATCATTGAGAGAAGAATGGAGCATCAAATCATCTTGAACTGCACATCTGAGCCATAAAGCATACACTACATATGTGCAAACTTCTGAGTAAATCCTTAGCTATCAGCTACATACAGGTCCGCTCATTTGTCTGCCCATCTAGATAAGAAAATCATGTGTAATACATGCTGTAACTTTGCTCAGATTGAGACACACATTTCAAAATATTGACTACATATATCACAATGGCTACTCAGGAAATATTCATGGAACTGTGTAACAGTAGCAGGATGGGAATCTGATCACTAGGACCCAGATTCCCATCTGGGAACCTCTTTAATGCTGGCAGTGAGACAGCCAACTGGACGCCTTGAAAAAGCCGGCTCGCTATGGTTGCGTGTGGATTGGGAGTCTTTGGATAAACGTCTTGCTTTGGTCCCTGAGGCTGATTCGGCAAATTCTTTCCTGAAGTAAGAGTGTTAACCATCCACAGGGTGAGGACTAACTCATAATTCATCACGTACTTATCTCGTGATTCAGCAAGTTGCTGAGCTTTGCCCTCATGGATTCCTGGGGTGTTTTGTTGTTGACATTACTGACTTGTTTGTTATCGGTGCTTTCAATTTGCGCGGCAGTAGATCGAATGGCAAAGTCCCTAGCAAGGTGGTGGTTCTTTTTAGCATATTTGGCCCATCGAGGACACGTTGTATATTCGGGATTCCACATGGGATCGTCTAGCTTGGTCTTTGGGTTCCAGCTGGCAACCAGAAGGTGCGAATGAATGCCAAAGCGTTTATATATACTTTGGAGCTACATGAGAATCAGATTGTAAGTTTGACTTCTTCATTGTGAGGTCTTCTGGAACAGTCGGCTGACCTGGATAGCTACTTTTCCGATCTCTTCACGACCCCGCTTTTCAATGACGGCAAGAGACTTTGCTATTGTCTGGCCCAGCACACCGCTTTTGAGATGTGTGGATACCTTCGTGAGATTGGCGAGTTGAGTGAAATGAGGCATGTATTCAGTTATCTCTTGATCGGATGCACGTTCTTCTTGGGAAACTGGTGTGGCAATCTCTGAGAAATGTGCGTAGGCTAGCTTTTCAAATAGTTTTGGCTGAAATATCTCTTTTTCAGTATTGGTCAGTTGTGTCCACTTGCGACAGTTTTGATTGTGTTCTGCAAAACCCTCGGGTTGTCTCCCTGCAGGCACTGTCATGTGTGAAGTTCATTAGTAGTATAGAATTGTGATGCAAATGTGTGAACTTACTTGAGATTTCCGCTGTGTTGGCCAGGCTGTAACTCATCCACGTTGTGTAGCCATTGCGGTCGCGCGATATAGGTCCTTCAAAGCTGTTAATAGTTGATAAATAACATATATTTCAGTTGATGATAAAAGGAGGAAGGAGGATTTGGCACGGGAAGGGAAAAATCGACAACAATTGATTGGATTAAAAATACGCACAGTGCGGATTCCAGAGTTGCAAGCGAGGTGTTTCCAACCAGAGAGAGACTCATCTTATCCATTGTATAATAACCCTGTAGTGCCTGAGCTTCAGCTAGAATGTTTGATGGGGGGCGATTCTGAGTCTTGCGTTTTGGATCGTTCAACAACTTCTCCAGCGCGGGTCTTCCAAGCTGTCGACCATTGGTTGAATAGTTTTCAAGGGTTAGTGATGTTGTGATGGGATTGCGAGGTGCAACTGTTTGGGTAGTGCGTGTTCTCTTCCTAGCGTTGGAATCGGTGTTTGTTGGAGGAGCGGGTTGCCTTGAGTTGTTGGCTGAAGGACCTGGTCTAGATCGAGATTCACCAGTAGGGTCTCCTGTTCTTATGTCGTCTGATTTGTCTTCTTCAAGTTGTAGGTTAGGTTGATAATCTTCATCCTCTGCGTCTGATTCGTCAAGTGCGATCTCTTCAGGCGTTAGAAGTTGCTTGCTGTTTGTCTTCTGCCGTTTGGGAGGTGGTTTCCAGGAGGTTGAAGATTTTTTTGGTGTTGGACGTCGCTTGGTGGGTTTTTGCTTGCCTGTAGGCATGGTCAAAGAGGAATGTTGCGAGATTGGTGAGGATGATAAGAGTCGCAGGTTGTTGGTATAGGTAGTGGGGATAGAGCAGTAGTGAGTGAAAGCAGTGAGCTGGTGAAGTATTGGTGGGGTCAGCAATGAGCCTGGTGAGCTGGTAAGGTAGTGTGATGGCTGGTGTGGTGGTGAGCTTGTGGTAAGGTCTTTGGTGAGCCTGGTGAACTGGTGGGTGTGGTGAGCTTGTGGGAAGTTTTTGGTGAGGCTGGTGAACTGGTGAGCGTGGTGAGGTACTGGTAAGCCTGGTGAGCTTTACCTACATAGCTGACCAACGGACTTGTAAACAAAAAGTGAGGCAAAAGTTCTAACTTAAGATCTAGTGCTAGATCTAAGCGTATATTCGGAACACATCCGATGATAGGACTTTCTGTCTCATCGGATACTATAGGGGAAAAGGAAAGGGACACAGGTGGGGTGTAATGGACTTTCTCACCTTGTGTGTTAAGCCGAATTTTTTCTTTGGAAGGAATAGTATGATGGAAAGTCGATTTACCATTCCATGCAATCTGAACTGCACCCTTACCACCAAAGTTGATAGCCACTCGGAACTCGGGGAAAATAAACCACCCGCCCTCAAGCTCAAATCCTTCAGATTGGGTTACAATCTTACCACTAAGACTATCAATCGGATACCAAAGACAGTAGACCTTGCCCTTGTCATTATCAGTATGAGGTTTGTTATAAAAATTGCCAAGCGTAAAAGCAAAGTTGGCGCCGAAGTCGAGGGGGCCAGAGGGTTGATACTTTGACGTAGAAGCCATTGAAGGGGCCCGGAGTAGGTTAAGTTGCTGGCGAGCGACGAGAAAACCTTCATCACAAAAGCTCTTGAATCTTCCGCCAATTCGAGCACCAAAATCAGGTAGCCTGTCCAAAAATTCCTTGTACAAAGATTTGGATGACCCTTTGGTGGGAGTGTAAGGTGATATCAGGATGTCGCGCGAGTATCCTCCTGTTTGACCAAAACAGTGCATTCGACCGTGAACCAGAGCACCATTAGTCGTTACTGATTGCTTGCGTTTCTTTGATAACGTAGTTGTATTATCAATCAATTCCTTCTTGGTAGTAGCTGATTGGTCAGGCTAATTAAACAACATCTTAGTATCGGATTTCCCAAGGTATATATATAAATATTTCCAAAATAGTCACTTACTGCTATCAGAGTGCCGTTCTGTGTTTTCGATCGTTTGCGTCTCTTTGATATTGTAGGTCGATAATCAATTGATTCCTTGTTGGTGGTAGCCGATTGATCACGCTAGTTTAACAATATCTCAGTATTACATTTGAACAGGTTGATACAAATCAAAACATAGTCACTAACCGCTTTTGATTGGTTACAGACCTTACACTTATTTTGACCCGATGTTGGATAATCTTCCACATCGGAAGGAGGGAGTGAGGTCAAAGGAGAGGATAACCGATCAGCAGAAATTGCCCCACAACCTGGTACCGCATTATCGCTGGTAGGTTGGTGGCGAGAGAACTGATAATCTTGTAGATTGTCCTCGCCTTCTGCATCTGAAGGAGGAAGGGAAGTGAGCGGCGACGAAGGTGGGTTGAATTCGTCTGAAATCTCAATTTTAGTCATACGCGTAGTTGAAGTATCTAAAAATGAACAGCAGCAAATCAGCATTCACATAATGTAAGACCCTGTAATTAACATAATCAAAGGATAAAACCTGCTTTGTGAAATCGGAGGTACGCAACTATCAGCAGGTGGTACCAATCTTTTAGGAGTTGGTAATCTCTTAAAGAGCTTAGTTGACATCAAGATTGTATCAACATCCTTTTGATGTAGATCAAACTCCTCCGGTGTCAAAGATTCCCAGTCGTCAAACGAGTATGTGAAGATCAGTTCATTTGAATCCCGATCCCCAAATTGCCCTTTTCCATGGGTAATAATTTTGTACGTATCAAGGATTATTTCCATTGTACAATCGTAGTTTTCATATGGTAGGACAGGATCATTAAGCCTGTAGCGCTGGCAATCGTACGTTTCGTTTCTGCGGCTGGTGGACTGAGGCGACTGGTCTGTTGCTTTGGTATCCAAGTTCTTCCTAGCCCTTTTCGCATGGCGCCTGTCATGCAAAAGAGCCATAGGCATTATCAGACTTAAGATGAAATAGGTTATCTAAGCTTTATACTCACGTGTGCGATTTCCGCCTCGTTTTCACAAGGTGAAGAGGAGGATTAGGTGGGACTCCCGGTACCTTTTGTTCGCGATACTTGTCCAGTGCTCTGCGCCTGCAAAACAAAAGAGTCAGTTTGATTACGGAGAGTTACCTTTGGGTGTTAGAACTAAGATTTAACCTACACTACTCCTCCTTTACCTTTGTTTGGATTTTCATTGCGAAGTACCACAAATCTGCATGCAGGATTGAGCCAGCAGTCAGACTTGGGGAATCCATCTGGCGCAAGGTACTCATGTGGTACATGCGCGTAGGATTTCGCCTGGCCGAAGGGCTTTGGGAGCTAAGGCAATCGTAGAACAAAGTAAGTGAGGTTAGATAGGTATTAGATAGTTAGTGGATAAGCAACTGTGCGCCTGTAAGAAAGACTCAAATTAACTTACATCCGCATCACTGTATCCAGTCTGCCTCTTAGCATCTATACCTTTCAAAAGGTCTGATAAGAATGTAACACCCGGTAAGCAGGCATCAGAGCCATTGATTTGGATATCGCTGTGGAGGGTCATAGCATCATCAGTGATCGGAAGAGCGTTCTCATTAGGATATTAGAGGTTGGCCATTGCTACGTACCCATCGGCAGCGTCGAATTTAGACCTCTTGTGCGTAGTCCATCCGGGTTCCAAGTTTGTCATTATAGTCCGGTGTCTGTCGAAAGAAATATACTAGTTAGTACGATTAAACTGGTTAGTTGCTTGAGGATTTCGGGAATGAAATGGAATGACCCCAGGAAGGATGACCAATCCAGCAAAGAGGTGGTAAGTGGAAGTGCTGGTTGTATTTCAAGTTATGCAGAGGCTATCTATGCCAACCTGCGCAAACCACCTCCATCGCTGGAAGGTATCTGATCGCATCCTGAGGTTGTGATGGTGGAACGATGATAAGATGAGAGAAAAACTATACAAGTAGGGCCTGTGATGCAATTAGCTTGATGGTTAGAGGGTCCAAGCGACAGCGCTGGGTAGTATTGTGTGCAGAAAGAAACAGTATGATTAGTATCATTATATCGCAGTATTGAATAAGTTCAAAAACTTACAATGAAACAGAAGGACACCGAGAGGCTTTTCTGATGATCATCATTCAAGTTAAAGGCGAACAGCAAAATTGAACAAAATCAACAAATTGTCCAAAACCTCCACTGATTCCGCTGAACAAACTGATGTTTCAACCAACCGAAGTTACAGCCAAGCGAGCTTCACTCGATCTCTCAAATATAATCGTAAGTTCCTCGGTAACACATTAATCATTTCATTTCATCATATCATGCATTACAAGTTAAAGGACAACTATGAATTACTTTATCCATATATCGACTAATTTATCGACTGATTGCAGTGTCCCGACTCCCTATACAACTGAATATCGTTATTGTCATTGTTCATATCAAATAAGAACCATCGGGGGGCATCAGTTCAAACGTATGTAAACCACACAAAATCTGCCATTAGTGCAACTTTCAAGTTTAGGAACCATCTTGAGATTCATCTGTGGTTCACTTCATTTAAATTTCAAACATCTGCCGGCTATCTCGCCTCTTTTCACCTTATCTGGCAAACAAATTTTGCAAGTCAATCTACACCTAGCCAACAATCCTGAAGCACGCAATTTAATTGAAGTTAATTGATTGGATTTCCGGCCGTATCGACCCAAGGAAGAACTGATCAAACCCGAGGAGCTTTAGACAGCCTTCATAATTCAGTGTAAAATTGGTCAAGGATTTGCTTTAGCTAGAGTGGATCTACAAAAAAGAATTAAAGATCAATGGCCAAATTAATCCAGCATTTTGAGAGGTAAAGTCTGTTTGAACAGTCAGACGGAAGCCTTTTCTTGTTGTGTTGATGCCTATGTTTCTACAGAAACCTTGAAGCAAACAATTGTGGAACACACCAATTGATTTGGATCAAAGGTCTGCTGTTTTTATTATTAGAGGACATGTATAGACACATGTCCAGATCCAAACATCTTGGTTCGAATTCCTGAAACGACTGGTACTGAACCAGTAAGTTTCATCTCAGTCGCCTACGCATCTTGATCTCAATTCACAAAAGTTTTATTTTACGCAGGCTGAAGAGAAATCACTTCAAGAAATGAACTTCAAGAAGAATTTTCAGTTAATCGAGCGGAAGGACCTTGACTCTGATAGAACGTCAGTGAAAAAGTCATCAGACCAATATCACCAATATTTTACGCTGGAAAATCAGGAGTTTACTTTCTTTGGTGTTTCTTTTATCCAAACTATATCTTTTGGAAACTCATGAGTTCTGATCCCAGAAAAAGACCTCCCGGAAAACTTGGTGCAAGCAGCTGATCATCCCTAATCATTTCCCTTGAGAACCGTCAGTCGATTTTCACTTTTCTTATCTCACACGTCAATAAATCTGATACAGTTATTAATGTTTGAGATCAGGGGACTTGAGAAGCGATACGTTTATGAATCCGTCTATGTTCTTGAAGTTGTTCTAGAAGATAGCTGGCATCCTTACCAAACTCACACTTCGATCATGCGTCTCAATAGAATTATAGATATGTACATCTTTTCATATCTCCTGAATAGATTTGTTTGTTGACTGACTGTATCCATGATCAATGAATCTTTATGGATCATTGGATCTGAAACATATCCAAATAGACTCAAACCTACCATTTGATTGAATCTCAATCCTCAATCACAACCGACAAAAAGCACAAGAGTTGTTTATCGATTTGTTTAAAGTAATCAAGATGGACAATCGATTTCAAGGTCTGGTCTTAGCGGATCAACATCATTCACTAATCGCGATTGAGATCAAAACACAATTCTGCAACTCCGTGAAATGGGGCTGAGCTTAAAGACGTCAGTATTAATTGCTGCAGTGAACAAAGCACCCCTTTGCTTTATTCCGACTGCACTGTGCTGCTACTCAGAGATTTGGAAGCTACGCGCGAACGTCAACATATCCAACATGATGAATCGCAAATGGCCAGTCGGACGCGAGCAATGTTAAAGCTGAATATGTAATTACGAAACTCGAATCTCAAAGGACATAGCGGTAAGTTGGTCACTTTCACTAATGTCTCAAAATCGGAATCAACTTCTCATTCAAACTTATCTCCAGGACGATCCTCTCAAGTAAAGTAAGGAAAAATCAATAAGAACTCTTGAAAGATTCTCAATCAATCTTGCTGACTTCCTCTCCTGGGTGTCTAGGATTTTAAACCTTAGAATTGGAAACAACGTCAAAAAATCGAAGCACTGAAGGTTCAATCAACTGTTACAAATACATATCATCGACAATCCAACTACATAATTCAAAACACTCAAAAGAAATCACACATACTTCAATTTCATTGTTAGCTTTAATCTTATCAAACAATGTATCAGAAATCTTACTCTCAAATCAATCGAATCAATATACCACTTTCTTGTCAAGTTTGATTTCAGATTTATTCAATTCTATTAATCTTCTAGGTTGCTTTATTGCTTCAAGATTTTCAAGTTCTATACTTCAAATCTCTCCCAATTTAGGACCACACACAATCAATCGATCAGATCGACATTTCTTTTTTGAAATCAAAATCAAAACTTTTGCAATCGACTGAATTTCAAGTTAATTTTGAAATCTTTGGGTTTTGGATTTCGGATACCAATCATAGATTGATTAGGGAATTTATTATGACTGAATTCAACAATTGACTAATTTGAGCTATTGCTTTCAAAAGTTCAAGTTGAACTGTTCAGAATTGATAATCAAACCTTGTGGTAAAATTTTATGTGGACCTTCGTTCTCTCACTTATATCCAAACTGATTGTTCCTGTGCCATTTAGGTGACTTTTCCTTTAATCTTGGTTCAATCCCGATTGTATTCAAATCGATTCCAGCCTCCTCAAAGCTTTAGTCATCTCAGCTAATCCACCTTAATCTTGTTTATTTTTATTTTGCCTAACAGTCTAAAGTCATCGTCATCAAGCTCTTTTGATTTTGGACGACTCTTCCCTTGCACTTATCAACACTAGGTCAATTCTCTCTCTGTTTATGAGTATTTCCGACTTGATTCAAATGACCTTCCACCCTCCTTAACACCATTCATCCTTACTAACATGATTTTGTTTTTTTCTGTCTTATCATAATATGAGTTTTAGTTACTAGCTGTTGGGATCGACTTTCAACTGTGTTATAATCAGAATTCTTGAGCAATTCAATTCCAGAAACTTTTGCTTCTTTTTCAACTTGCTTTGCACCAATTACTGATTTGAAATTTCTTGACTTTGATCTCAAAACGGCCAATGAAGAAATCA